GATCTCTACCATTTCTTAGACTCACTGCCATAAGCTGCTTCGGGCCCTGCTCTTTTAGATTGACATGTGTGTCTGCAGGTAAAGTCCCTTGGGGGCGATTATTCAGAGCCATTGATATCTGCCTTAATTGAATCTCAATGCCTTTTATCGCTGAGTCATGTGTGTCCACTCTCTCTTGCATTTTTCCATTGAACCCAATCAGTTGTTGCAGCATTCCTCTAATTTCAGACAACCCATCATCTTGTCTCATTATCTGTTGTTGTTGAGGCTGTTGCCTTTTGTAAGGCACAACTTGACCCTGTGGTCGCATAGCTCCAGTATTGCTGCTATTATTGTACTGTTGATATGCTGGTCTATATTGTTGATTATGTGGCCCCCAATTCTGACCACCTTGCCTCTGTCCTCCATAGTTGGCCACATAGTTCATATCTTCCTGATAGTGTTGGTTGTCACTTTCCGCACTCCAAGAGTATTTATATGGTTGGTTAATGCATGGTGTACATAAGCCCCCATTAGTCGCATCAACTATGCGTACCTGCTGCTTCTGGCCTGATTCATCGATATTTTTGGTGAGGATACTCATTTGCATCATCAGAGTGGCCATATTTTCGGCTATGGAGTTGTTTGGGTCCAAAGCCACTGAGTGAACGACAGGAGTGATCGTAGAGTCTCTTGTCATCCATACTGAGTTTTGAGCCATTTTATCAAGTAGGATCTTGCATTCTCTGAATGATTTGCTCAAAAATGCTCCACCTGCTGAAGCATCAACATTGGCCTTTAAGCTGTCTGCCAATCCCATGTAGAACCTCTGCCCCAACATCTGATATGGAATGCTATGATGTGGACACTTAACCAGCATACCCTTGAACCTCTCCCACGTTTCTTGTAGTATTTTTGTTGGTCTCTGCCTGAAGCTCAATATCTCATCAATTTGTTTGGCAGTCTTATTGGATGGGTAGAACTTGTTCAAAAATTGCTTGACGAATTCCTCCCAAGTAGTGATGGAGTTTATGGGGAGTGAATTAAGCCAAGTCTGAGCCTCTTCTATCACTGAGAATGGAAACAATAACAACTTTATTGCTTCCGGTGTCACATTAGGTTGCCTTTGCGTGACACATATCGACAGAAAATTTTCCAGATGCTGCTGAGGATCTTCAATGTAAGACCTTGAGAATAGTCCCTTGTTCTGCAACAATGTAACATGTTGTTTGTGATTTGAAATGATTCCGCTTGTATTTGAGGGACTGCAATTGCGGTTGCCAGATTTTTGGCAGTGGGTTGTGCCCAATCATACAATATTGCTTCTGGCACAAGAGGCGCCACACCCTGATTGTTCGGGTCATTCGCATTATTTCTGTTGTTTGGATTTTCTATTACGTCATCCATGTCTGGTTTGATTTGTTCTATTGAGTTCTGTTGTTGTTTGCCCTTCTTGTTTGCATGATTCAGTGCCTTGAAAACATTCTCAGGATCTGATAATACTTTGAATAATTCACTAGTTCTTGAGGAGTTTCTAGGCATGCATATGTAACACCCAAGACTACAAACGTTAGAATTTCAATGTATTTAGTTTAATAAAGAAAATACTACACTAAGAATTCTAGCACTTCTTTTAGCTGTAATTAACAACACCGTTAAATCCCCGGCAACGACACCAAAATTTGATCACGCCTAACTATGCCTTATAAAAAGGACTAAGCAGTCGTTGTAAATATATTCCGGTTAACAAGTCCGGAGTCGAATCCCACAGGGAATTAACCTACTAAGCACAGCTACTAGATTCGCACAAATTCATGTAATCAATCTTCAGAAATATTAAATAACGAATGGGATGTTTACTAACTAAATATCAAGTAATAAAAATGCAGTAATTAATAACTAACTACGAACAGGTTATAGACAAGATTTGGAATGATCTAAGGTTCTGCTTTCCCCTATTGTCGGACTCCTTCCCGCTACGTTTCCTATAAATTTGCCTAAATTTTCTCTACCGATCATGAGTGCTCTGAGTGTCGTAATTCTCTCCTGAGTAACTACCACAATTTACTAGACATATTCTTCCAAACTACACTAGTTGTCACTAAGTTATGGCTCAATCGGATCGCACCAAGGTTTTGTTATTCCCAATCGCACCTTTAAACCCTCTGTATTGATCCCTCATATACGTTAGGAGTGTTGTTGTTCAATATCTACCTAAATATGCACTCTCTTTTGAGTAATACACACTAAATAGGTATACTCGATTGAGAGTTCTTCAACCAACCACAATATAAATTTAGTTGAACAAATAGAGAAAAAGTTACGGCAAATCTATATTAACGTAACAGGAAAATCATCCTCCAATAGGTTCCATCAAAACCCTAAATTAGAAGTTTAGCTACTCATACTCATAGTAACAATATCCCAAGTATTTTGCATAAATAAATTATAAAGTAAAGATGAAGAAATGTAGAAATCGATGATTCTATCCCCCAACGGGTGTTCCACGAGCTATTCTTGCCTCCGGTCGCAAAACTCCTTCAAAAGTGGTGTTTAATGTCTATTTATATGTGTAGGAAAAGACCTAAATGATATAGCCCAAGTCCTAGTCAAACAAGGAGACAAAATAAGCCTTCAAAATCTGGATCAGGCTCGCCTCAGACCGTGCCTCGCGAGGTAAAACGCGAGATGCATCTCGCCCCAGACCGTGCGGCGCCAGGCATTCAGCGCGCTCATCCTCGTCTTACCCTTCGCGTCGCCTGCTCCCACGCGAGCTTAGAGGCTCGCCTCGATAGCTCTAACGCGAGCTCCATAGCTCGCTTCGCTAGCTTCTTCATTTTTCCACTGCTCACTTCTTTCTTTCTTCTTTCCAACTATTTTCGAGCACGCTTTATACTTTAAATCTTTCTTTTACTCTCATATCATCTCCAATGTACCTACACATAAAATAAACTCTATTACGCGCAAATAAAGTATAGTTTGGCATTAAAGCACCTAAAATATAAGGTAAATAATGTACTAAAATATGGAATTATAGCCGAACATCAAGCGCTTTATCTTCTAATATGGAATTTTTGGCGCGAATCCAAATTTAGTCGTGCCCCAATACGAGTACCAAACAATGGATGGAAAATCAAAAAAATGGTGTTTAATTGAACAAAAAAGTTATGACACTCCTTCCATTTCAATTTATGTGAATTTATTTAATTGGGCATGAAGTTTAAGAGAAAGTTTTTAATATGATTATAAATATATTATAATATTTAAGTGGCTAAAAATCTTTTGAAACTTATGGTGTAAAAATATGGCATATCATTTATTGGCTGTGAAAACTTCTCATAAAGAGTAATATTGAAGTCCTAAAATTAAGAGTTTCCTTGTTAAGAAATGGTTCATTATGTTCGAAACTGAATAAAAAAGAAATAGTTTTATATAAATTGAAATGGAGGGAGTATCATTTTAATTTATGTATTATACTAGTTGGTTGTAGTCAACTTTAATTCATTTAGTATTAATTGGTAGTAACAAAAAATATTAAAAACCACCTAGTATTATATGTGTTGTCAGAATTTGAACCTTGATTTTTAAGGCACGGAATCACTTCACTAACCAATAGGTCATACCTTGGACGCAGAACTAGGCAACTGCTTTACAAATAAGATAATATTCCTCCCTTAATAAAATTCGTAAAAAGCATGCTTTAATGCATATCTCTATTTTTTGTTTATCTTTTTGGCATTGAATTCTCAAAATACATTCTTGTATGATCTCAACAAATGGGAAAAGGAAAAACTTCCATTTTGCATCTCATCCTGTGCAAATTAAATATGTCATACTTTATAATAAACATGTAGACAATTGCCAAGTCTTCACATTCTTTAGTTTAATTTCTATGAGCTAGTAGTTATTAAGGTGTATACATTCATCACCAAGTATTTCCAAGGCTTTCTTATATCTTATTGAAACAAATTTCAGGCCTCATGTTCCATATTCTTCCTAATATTTCTGTCGATTTTTGGATTGATAAAATAACGATGTAGAGGAAAACAGCGCAGAGATTCTCTACAATGACACTGTCATAGACCAATTAAAAGGGATATAACGCAGTTTTAGCATATCAATGAATATTGTTGTTGTTTGTTGGTCATCATTTTTTCCCTATGACAAACTAATTCAGACCACTTATTAAACTTAATACATTGTTATTGAACGCTGCTTTAACCAAATGTTTGCAGTGACCCAATAGAGTTGATGAAAGAAAGGAGAAAAGTATGAGGAAAACTCAATAATTGGATTAATATTGGAAACTTTTCTTTAAGGTGGGGAAAAAAATTCAAAAATAGCCTGATTTACAACGGTTAATTGAAAAATAATCACAACTTCAAAAGTAATTGAAATTTGGTTATTTTTTCACGTAAAGATAAAATCTTAACAAAAACACCCTTAAAAATTTGAAAAAATTCAAACATAATATGCTGGAGTTCGAATTTTTTACATATGAGATTCCAACATAATGTGTTAGAGTTCCAACATAATATACTGAAAGTTTATATGCAGGAGCTACATAATCCAACATATTATGCTAGAACTTTCTATATTTCAGCTAAGGTATTTTTGTCCAGATTTTATCTGCGCATAAAATAGTGGCTATTTTTCAATAACTTTGCAAACGCCGACTATTTTTTGATTACCAGTCCAAAAACTGGCTAGCCGATGCTATTTTCATGTAAGGTGGAGCTTGTCAACTGCAAGCTCATGTATAGCATGTGATAACAACAACAACCCAGTATAATCCCACTAGTAGGGTCTGGGGAGGGTAGTGTGTACGCAGACCTTACCCCTACCCTAGGGTAGAGAGGCTGTTTCCGATAGACCCTCGGCTCCCTCCCTCCAAGAATTCTCCACCTTGCTCTTGGGGTGACTCGAACTCACAACCTCTTGGTTGGAAGTAGAGGGTGCTTACCACATGTGTAACATGTGATACAGATGGAGAAAACAGCTCCACAACTACAAGCTCAACATAGTCACTAAGGTAAGCACTTGTTGACATTGATGATATATTGCAGGATACTGTCACTTAGCTACATGATCCAGAAAGGTAGAAACCGATAGTCCAACAAAAGATGATTAAACAGGCTGAACACAAGAAAATATATACATACAAGCCAGAACTGTTACTAAGTAACTAAAGGTTTCTCTGGAATCAGTTCCTGCACTTGATGAGATTCAATGACCTTTTTCGCAGATTCCACGACGGATTTGCCATTGACATAGTGTTGTCGACAGACAGGCATGTACATAGCAGCACCACCTATAAGCTCCTTCTGCATCTCTTCAGTTTTTCTTAAGGTAAAAATTGCTCGTTTGCCACATATTTCGCATCTTGCTGTCAACTTTGTAACGGTATCTGCTAGTGGAATAATATCAAGTACTGAGCCAAACTTCCTCCTGTAAGCAAGCATGAATTATCATCAGAATACAGTTTGTGCTGAATAATTTGACACTCCAAATTCTTAAGTAGTCAAGGATTACCTTAAGTAGTCACCATCTAGGCCAGCAACAACTACAGTCTTCCCATCGATATCAGTAGCTTTGTAGCAGAAATCATAAAGGTCATCAAAAAACTGAGCTTCATCAATGCCAATCACATCCACCTGCTAACGACTAGATTTCTTAAGGTATACAATTATAGCTAACTAGAAAAATAAACTACAACACAATGAAGAGCAAGAATCATATCGAGATTATTATGTTAGAGTTCCACAACAGTTAGCATCTTCTTGTTTGCTAGACAAAATTGTTCTTTCAAAAGGTCAATAGCTCTAAGACAAGCAACTTTCACCTTCTCCATTACTTCTATATGCTCAGCTCTTCCCCTTCACACTGGACCTTTTTTCTTTGTCTTGGTAAATTCCAACCCGCTAAACCCACTACTAACCAGGAGCACAAAATAGGTTCTTTCTTTCAAAACAACCTTGACTGTTCAATCAGATACATACACTTCCACCATATACATGCTACTTTCCAACAGGATAAATACCGAGTAACTCTATCCATTGAGGTTTAGGCAGATAAAAATAAACCGCCAAGTGTTTTTGCCTTGGTTGGATATAAAACCTAGTCCCCGATGATGTTTATTAGCTTTATTGACCATTAGGCCACAACCTTGGATGCAAGACGAAACAGCGATCTTTTCTGTTTTATTCCCTTAGTGACTCAAATCCCCAACTTTACAGCTGGAGATGGAGAGTCCTCACCACTAGGCTAAAAGATAAACAAGATTCCAGTAAAAGTTTTTGCCATAATTAAAGAGAAACCTTTAGTTCCTTCCCTTCCAATGAAAATAAAAGGAATTGATGCAAGAAAGTTGACTCTTTCTTTTTAACATCAAAGCTTTCCAATATCAAGAAAGGTTGCAACCAAAGAAGAATCTAATCACTCATAGACAAGAATCTGATAACTCATACCCAAGCAAAATGATTGGTCTACATATGTCAAACATAACAAACTAATTTTCTAGGATCAACAACAACAACAACAAACCCAGTATAATCCCACAAGTGGGGTCTGGGGAGGGTAGTGAATACCCATATCTTACCCCTACAGTGAATGTAGAGAGTTTGTTTCCAGTAGACCCTCGGCACGAGGTAGTTTTCTAGGATCACAAACCTAGAATTTCAAGAATAGGCACTAAGTCTCAATTCACATAAGATTAGTCCAAGAATAGCACGAGAGGAAAGCAAGAAAAGGACTGCACCTTTTCATAGGCATCTGATCCAAATCTTTGTTTGAAAGATGAGAGATCAGGCAATGACCAACATGGGAGTTTTGTCCCGTCGTGAGTCACCACTGCATCTACTGCATACCTTGTATCTTTGTTTGACTTGATCATTACCACATTTCTGCAACACAGTTGAAGAACACAAGTTACAAAAAGGATAGTAGAAATTAATCAACCAAATTGGCAACATAGCAACTACTTCAATATAACATGTCAAAGTTCATAAGTTGGAGCATATACAACAATATTATAATCAATCAAAAAGTTCCATCTATCCGAAAAGATTGATACATTCAGATACCTCAACTTGTTGTAAACTCCACAAGATACAGAAACAAATAATTTAGTACTAAGGTTATGTCTTATATGTTATGCATATCTAGCTTAAAATGTTACCCCCTCAGTTCAATTATGTGTGGCGGGGTTCAAAGTTCGAGTGTTAAACTCTTAAATTTCAATGTGAATTCAAACATAGATTCTTCAGATTTTTGGAATAAGACTTCATATTTGAGAACTACTTATAAGCTGATATATGTGACAATAGTTAATAATTGAAAAATATATATTAAACCACTTCAAAGAACATGGTCAAAGAAAACTCACCTTAACTTCCCAAATAGTAAGAGTGCTGCATAAAATGGAACATAGTGAGCAAAAAAATTCCTATATTTTAAGTTATATGCGCACAACGTGTAAAGTTTTTTTTATACTGACAATTCAACCTATATAGTAGGTTAGTTATCATTTTTAACAAGTTACAATTAATACTTATTTTAGAGATTTACCTATTATTAACTTATAAGTGACTAATGGTGTAATATTCTTCACACCATCAACAGTGACATAGCCAAGAATTTTATCAAGAGTGTTCAAACTTTAAAGAAGTCAATAAATTTATTTTCAATGAATAAGTGCACCAAATGTTTTTAATCAAACTACATAATATTTAGCTAAATCATAAAAACACTTGTAACAGAACTACAATTTTATAATTAAAACGAACACCCTTAACCATAGGGCTTCCTCTTTTTACTCTATTTAAGGGTATTCGAAATATAATATATGATGATCTAAAGTGGAATTCAACTTAGGGTGTTCACTTGAGCACACCTAGGACAACAAAGCTACGCCATTGACGGACAATATATGGAACTTAAACTCTTTTTTTCAACTGTATATCCAGTTAAACAAAGGCAAACAACTTAAAACAGAGGGTAAATTACATAGATCTAGATTGTAACTAATCCACAACCCGTTATGCCAATCAAGCCTATAAATTCTTGAAAAATAAAATATTTTTGTACCTGCCCATTTTGGCTTCAGAATTGATTCGGCGAAGAAGGGCAGTGGTTTTACCAGCAAACATTGGGCCAAAAATTACATGGATTTCGCCTGAATTAACATGATTATGGCCTCTTTGATCTGTTCCAGTGGGTACAGAAACTGGATTTTTAAACGATGAAGTTGAATAAGACATGGTGAAGAACTGAAGATTGTAATTTTTTTTCTTTTTCGGAGCTATGTTTGTAATTATGTGAGAGGAAAAGATGAAGAAAATATTTCAAAGCTTTATAAAAAAGGTGTTGATTTTGAATTTTGGAGGAAAGGGTCAAAGGGATATGAATTTTTTGTTTTTAGATTTGGAGGGAAACAGTAAAATTACTCAACTTCTCGAGCAAACAAAAAAAATCTCGATACACTTTTTTTTTTTTTTCCTCTTTTGAAATTAAACAGTAAGTGATAAATAAATATTTTTGTTAGTTCCGCTTCTATTTTCTTATTATTGTTGTTATTGCTTTTTTTTTTTTCATCTTTAGCCGACGATCTATCAAAAACAGTTTCTCTATTTTCTCAAAATATATTTAAGGTACGCATTATCCTACTCGCCTATGAAATTACATTGTGTTTGTTATTGTTATTATTGTATTAAATAGACATTTATTCAGATCAAATTGTAATTTTAGAAGAAAAAAATTCTAATTCATTCTTTAAAATGTTGGGGAAAAAACAATATGTTAGTCCAACAAATTTTCGTTGATTTTAGAAAACCATTCACTCCATTTTTCCTTTTTAAAAAAAATATTTTTGGTCACTTGGCGGAATTGTTAATATTTTAGTGTTTTACAAATAAATCACTAAAGACTCTGTCTAAATTACGTAAATTACCAAATAAAGTTTTTTTCCTACTTTGCTAAAATATGAATTAGCAGATACTTTAGAATACTAATAAAAGTTTCTACGGTTGTTATTCGGCCAAATTGACTAATCTAAGTAGACTTTTTTCATAGTTGAATGTCAAATTTAATGTGATTTATGAAAACTAGATTTAGGTTTGGCAGACCCAAAACAATAAAAATTTGAAAAAATTGTGATGCCTATTTATTTGAAAGATAAATAAATTTATTTGACTTAACTTTTACTGTACTAATGACATATATTTGGAATTTTTTTGCTTAAGTTTTAAAAAATGAGTATTTAAAGTTTAAAAAAGAATATTTGTAAGTTAAAATTGTGATTGAACTTAAATTTCACTTGATAAGAAAAGGTTGAATTTGTCCGAGTATTTAATTAAAATATTATTGAAATTTGCTTTTTCAACTTCAAAATTTATATTTTTAGGTCGAAGTTGAAATAATACACATGATTATAAATTACAGATTAATTTACAATCTCATTACTTGCAAATTGAAGTTATGTCAAGCTTACTCGGTGGCATTACTAAAACACGATGCTTCTTTTTTCATTGGAAAAAAATGTCAAATTTGCTCTTATACTATCCCAAGTTGAGCAATTTTATTATTCATTAATTTTTTGTAATATTGCCCTTTTTATTAGGAAAAAAATCTTGTTTTTTGTCCTTGATCCTCAACAGAGCTTCAGTTTGAGGTAATTTTAAATCATAGTCAATAATTGAGAGGTGAATTTAAAATTTTTTTTCTCGAAAAAATTTGGACTCAGAAAGTTCATTCAATTTACGTTGGAGCTCCATTAATAACAAAAAAAAAACGAAATAATTCAGTATTGACTGGGTATAAATAAACCGAAAGTGTAACATATGAAAAAATTAAGCAATTTTAAATGGTATATGGGCAAATTTGATCTTTGTACATTTTTTGGTCGAAAATGAGAAGTTTCCTTATTTATTCAAAGCCCCTTCCATCTATCTAATCATCAAAATCAGACCAAGAAAAACTTCAAACTCAAACGGTCAAACCATCTCCTTTTCTTTTCCTTCCCCATTACACCAATATTTTGCAGTAAGTATATATAAGGAAGGAATTAATTGGAGGACAAGCAATTCAAAAGCCAATCCTTCAGATCAAATCACACCAAATTCCTCTCTCTTCTTTCTTCCTCGTTACCCCATATTCTCATTCTTAACAAAAAAAACATTTAAAAAATCTAAAATAAAAAAAAAAAAATTAAAACTTTATCAAAATCAAAACTTTAAAGGCTTGAGAATTGAATCAATCTCCTCTTATAAACACATAGTATTATTGTTCTCAATTTGGTCAAAAAAAAAAAAAAAAACAGTGGGAACAAAAAAGTAAAGGGCAATATAGAGGGGGCATGTTGTACTGCCTCCTCTGTAGATCTTGTTGATTTTTTCATTTGGGTATTTTCAAAAGGCAGAATCTTGATTTGGGTATTTCTTATTTTCCTCAAAAGTCTTTTAAGTTTGATGAAATATTTTCATTGTTGGGTTGCTGTATGCTTGAGCTTTTACCTTTGGATTCTTGTTTGTTTGTTTCTTTAAGGATCGGATTCCTTTTGATTGAATCTGATAATATTTTGATCAGTTTCAGATTCTTGTCTGTTTGTGAGGCTCTCTTAATACTACTTCATAGTAAAGGTACGACCTTTACTGCTTTGCTGCTCTTTATTAATAATCTGCATTTCATTTCATTAATGCTGTATTTTGGATTTACCTTAAGCTTTCTCTTTTTCTGCAAAATGAGTATGGTACTATGAAGAAAATTGTAGTATTGTTTTCCTTTTTTTTGGGGGGGCTTAAAGTAGCATAATCAGTGGTGAAGTTAGAAATTGCGCTAAGGGTGTTCAAACTTGAAAGAAGTGAAAAAGATTTCCCAACAAAGAGTGTTAAATATATGTTATATACCTCAAAAATCTATTATTTTACCTATATACACAGTGTAATTTTTCGACGAATACCACCCTTAGCACAATGTAGCTTCGCCTCTAAGCATAATTTTGAATGGAAAATGTGGAAGTTAGTTATTCAGGTTTCTTGATTTTGGTATCATAGGAAAATGCAATCTGAGTTTGGCAAGTTATTTGTTGGTGGAATTTCTGAAGTTGCATAATGTTGAAGGGAAAATGTGGACATGGGTTATTGAGGATTGTTGATTTTGGTATTGTAGGAAAATGCAATCTGAGTTAGGCAAGTTATTTGTTGGTGGAATTTCTGAAGTTGCATAATGTTGAAGGGAAAATGTGGACATGGGTTATTGAGGATTGTTGATTTTGGTATTGTAGGAAAATGCAATCTGAGTTAGGCAAGTTATTTGTTGGTGGAATTTCATGGGACACAGACGAAGAGCGTTTAAAGGAGTATTTTATTACTTATGGGGAGGTTATAGAAGCTGTAATTATGAAGGATAGGACTACTGGCCGTGCTCGTGGTTTTGGTTTTGTGGTCTTTGCTGATCCTGCTGTTGCTGAGAGGGTAGTTAAGGAGAAACACAACATTGACGGCAGGATGGTAAGCTGTTTTAATTTCTATCTGATTTCTCTGATAAATAATCCATTTTTCTTACAATGTCATAATTTAATAGGTTGAAGCAAAGAAGGCGGTTCCAAGGGATGACCAGAGCACAACAAGTAAAAGCAGTAATAGTATTCATGGTTCTCCTAGTCCTGGTCCGGGACGTTCAAGAAAGATTTTTGTTGGAGGTTTAGCATCCACTGTTACTGAGATCGACTTTAAGAAGTATTTTGAGCAATTTGGAACAATCACAGATGCAGTAGTTATGTATGATCATAACACTCAAAGACCTAGAGGCTTTGGATTCATTACTTATGATTCAGAGGATGCAGTAGATAGACTCTTGCTCAAGACTTTCCACGAGCTGAATGATAAAATGGTTGAGGTCAAGCGTGCTGTCCCTAAAGAGTTATCCCCAGGTCCTAGCCAAAGCCCGCTTGATCGGTACGGTTATGGATTAAATCGGATGAATAACTTCCTTGATAGTAGATTTAGTCCGATTGCTGGAAGTAGGAGCGCCTTTGCGCCATTTGCTTCTGGTTATGGTATCGGTCTTAACTTTGAACCAAGCCTGAACCCGGGATACGGGGAAAGTGCAAACATTAACAGTAGTTTAAGCTATGGACGGGGACTGAATCCATATTATAGCTCAAACAGATTTGGTGGTGGTGCTGTGTTTGATGGAGTTAATGGAGGAAACACTTTGTCCTTAAACTCAGCAACTCGCAATTTATGGGGCGATGGAGGACTGCGTAATGCAACAAACTCCCCGAGCTCTAGAAATTTTATAGTATCTGGAAGCGGGAACATTGTAGGAGGAAACTTTAACAAAAGTGGAGTTTGGGGTTCATCTTCAATTTCCTCTCAAGGTGGAGGAAATGTTATTATCAAAAGCGGAAATCTTGGTTATGGGAATGGTGATAACATGTATGGGTTGCCAGGAGGCTATGGCGGAAATGTCAGAAAAATTGGGGCCCCTTTAACATCATATGCTGCATCTAGTGGTAGTTATGGTGTGGGGGATTTAGCTGATTTCTATGGTAGTGGTTTGGGATATGATGATCGCACTTGGCGTTCTAAGCAGGATGCAACTGGTTCTCTTGGCTATGGACTAGGCAACGGACGCTCTGACATGTCAACTCAAAGTTCTGCAGATTATTTAGGTACTTATGGAGTTAGCAAAAGACAACCAAACAGAGGTAAGCTTCTCATTAATTCTGATGCCCACATGTGATTATAAGATATGTTGTTATTGTTTTTATTGTTGTTAATATTATTATTTGGATAAATATATATCTCATATGATTATATGATAAAAGTGTCTAGCTATCTGCATCAGTGTTAGAGCGTGATTGTGCTTAAACTTCCCCTTCAGGCTCTTTACTTTCCTTAGCATGGATCAAGAATATTGACAATAACCTAAAGAAAAGCGTGTAAATTGCTGTCAAATTATGGTCTTTTGAGACTTCAAAATGGGGCCAAAATTAGTTGGCCAAGTTGATCGGGGAAAGCCATAAAGAAATCTTGAAATAGCATTACTTCTGTTACCTCGCCCTCTTAATGGTCATTTCCATTTATTTTTAGTAAATTAGGTTCATTGTTCATTCTTTCTTTAGCATATGGTCTATCGGAAACAACCTCTCTGCCCTCCCAGGTAGGAATAAGGCTGCATACATCTTACCCTCCCCAGACCCCACTCATGGGAATCCACTGAGTTTGTTGTTGTTGTTAGGTTCATTGTTGGTTGTTGACTTATGTTTCTAGAATTCTTGTTATTTGTCTGCCTTACTCATCTAGATCTAACAACTAAGGATTACTTTTTTTATCTTTTTCTTTTCATAAAGAGCTAAGAATTTCTCTGAGTTTCTTTACTT